AACGTCCACAGAAGGGATCTACCTGCACCCATATTCAGGCGGCAGGCTGTTTAACTTGGCACGACTGAAGGCAATGAGCAAAGTAAGGAAAGCAACCATTAGGGACATGCTTTATGCAGATGCTGCTGCTATAGTCACTATCACAGAAGCTTAACTACAATGTCTGATGGACCGCTTTACTAAAGCATGTGATGAATTCAGGTTGACCATCAGCCTAAAGAAAACCAACTTGATGGCTCAGGACGCGGACCCTCCCAGCATAATCATAAACTACAAAATAGAAGTAGTCAGCGAGTTCACTTACCTTGGCTCTACCATCACCAACAACCTCTCACTCAATGCCGAGCTCAACAAGCGGATTGGAAAGGCGTCAACAACTCTCTCTAGATTGTCACAGAGTGTGGAACAACAGCAGCTGACATTGTACACTAAGATCTCTGTGTACCGTACCTGCATGCTTAGCACTCTTCTGTATGACATGGGAAACTTAAACCCTGTATGCCTTTCAGGAGAAAAGACTGAGTGCCTTTCACATGCGTTGTCTCCGTGGCATATTTGGGATCACCTGGAGCAATCGTGTGACAAACAACGAGGTGCTTCAACAAGGCAAAAATTCCCAGCATGGTCACACTCCTCCGCCAAGTCGCATGAGATGGCTGGGCCATGTGCGTCAAATGGATGATGGACGGATTTCCAAAGACCTTCTCTACTCTAAGCTTGCCTTAGGCAGAAGATCCAATCGGACAGCCACATCTTCGCTTCAAGGATGTCTGCAAGTACGATATGAAAGCTCTTGGGATCGAGGTCAACCTCTGGGAAGAGCTTGCCCTTGACAAGTCCATCTGGCGACATGCTCTGTTCATAGGTCTGAAAGCCAGTGAGGAAAAGTTACGACAGCTCGCTGATGAGAAAAGATCTCAGAAGAAGAGGATGCAGTTCCAACCCAGACCCGACTCAAACTTCAAGTGCAGCAAGGATTGCCACTCCCGTGTGGGGCTTTATAGCCACAGAAGACGCTGCACAACTACAAACTGGGACACCTTTCATGGGCGCATTTCCATCGTCTCTCGAGACTAACGGAAGCCAACAACAATAAATAAATAAAAACAACAAAACAACCTAAAACAAGTATTTCTTATGAAATAGATCTAGCTTCTAATTTATGATCCGATTTCAACTTGTAACGCTGTTTCAGATCTTATAATTCAATTATCTGCACAGCTAAAATAGATTTTAACCTTTAAAACACTGAAACTTACAATATTGCACCACAAAATTTACCCGGAAAATGACAGTTTCCTTTCTTCGCAGTATTTTAGACTGGTACTGTAATATGCCAGAAAATTTTGGTTAACCAATCTCGACACAGGAAGCTCACATCGGTGATAGGAACCAAAATGTCTCTGCTCAGAACCACTTCCAGGTATGGATTAGCAGCCAGGAAACAGCTATTAGCCTTGTTTAATTTAATTCATATAATCCATTAAATACGACAACTCTTATGCAAAAATTAATAAAAATAGTTTCATGAATAATAATAATAATAATAATAATAATAATAATAATAATAATAATAATAATAATAATAATAATAATAATAATAATAATAATAATAATTTTTTTAATGTAAAAGGTATTTATCAAATTTATGGTGATCAGTTTCTCCAGTTAGGGGCCGGTCATTGTTTTGTCTTGTTTGGTAATCGTCTATCGACTCTGAAGAACCGTACAATTTGAAATTTGAATGTATGGCCGAACAATTGGCTTAGTAACCAGAGAAACACTGAAAACTGTTGGGGCTTAGACAAAGACAAGAAAAGACGTTCGAATTTAACCAAATCTAGAAGATGTCAAGGAGCATAATGTAAGAACGTATTGTATTTAGAAGCAATAGGCCTAATAGGCTGAGTTCAAATCCTAGCTTTGACCTTTAGTCCTACAATGTAAGACATAGCACGATATTATTTCCCGACTGTACATGAACTGGATTGTGTTTATCACGACTGATCCAAATATGGTCATCTACCTCTATAATAAATTTTATTAAAATAAAATATTTTTGATAATCAAGGTGGTTAATAATTACTTTTCCTCGTTTGTCATTCATCATACTAACGATATGTCCGATCTTAAAAGTAGAACATACATGAGCAGCAACATAATCACGAAATTCCTTTTTGGCTTCAAGGACACGTTTATTTATATCGTCATTCAATAAAGCTAGATTTTGCATCGAAACACTAAATTTATATTTTGGTAGTCTATCAAGATCAAATCTAAGAGGTGATGGTTCAATTGCTGTTAATTCCTCCATTACTATAATCAAGACAAATATTTAAATTGAATTTTAGTATATATATATATATATATATATATATATATATATATATATATATATATATATATATATATATATATATATATATATATATATAATGATTCAAGCAAGGAATAAGTGTGCCTGGTTTAAATTTGGTCATATCTCTTAGTGTGATAAACCATGAGTAAATGAATACTGCGGAAATCACACGCAGAGCACCAAACTTGGAAGTACATGACCAAAGCCATGTATTCAGTGTGGTATTGAAGTCAGAGAAGAAAAAAAACACACAGTTATGTTTGAAATGCTGCCGTAAAAATATAGAGTACTGAAATGATAATATGACAAATAATACCTTGTCAGGTAAATCTCCTATAAAAACAGAAAAGTATTACCTGGAAAGATTTCAAAATAATGATTTAGACAAATAATATAAATGGAGCAACAAGAATTTGTAGCACATCCAATATATATATAAATTACGTAACGACCCGAGATGGTACGATTAGAAACTGCCGATCAAAAATCCAGTCGGTAGTCTTGAAAAAACTTTGTTATTTTAGATATAATGTTGATAGAAATAGAATTTATTTCTCACACAGGTTCATCCTTGAGTGTTATTTTGGATTGATTAAAAACGTGTTTGTAGTTACAAAGAGTCAAAATTCTAGACGTGGAAATAATGGAAGGTGTAAAGCATTCATAAAGAGAGCTATTAAATCCATATATGCAGAAACAGTTCAAGGAATGACTTTCCCATTAATAAACACAGCAGCTAGATATTTTGGCATTCATCCACGATAGGTACAATTTGTCGCAAATAAAACCTACAAATCTTCTTATTCAATAAAATACAACCAGCAGATAATATTTGATTACGTCAAAACAACTCTACAAAACTATATAGTTTGACCGTCAATTTTGCCAAGGTTTCTGTTTAGCCATCACCACAGTTACAGGTTACAGGTTACCTTCACTGTCACTGCTTTCAGTGTCACTTTCGACAAAATTAGATAATATAATCTTTCTTAATTGCATTACACGATTGTCTATCATCTTTTTTGGTACTCGTGACACAATGCAATTCTTATATTTTTGATTCAACGTGCAAGAGGTGTAAATAACTTTTTTTGTGTGTTGCTCACTATTGCCAAGGAATCTAACATAGACAGATATATGGATTTGACAAATCGGTAATTGGAAAATAATATGAATTTATTTTCAAATTCTCGTTGTTTTAATGATTCAAAGTCACGTATAATTTTTTGAGGATCGAGATTATCAGATATCTTTATTTCGTCCATGTTCATTTTTTAATAGCAGAAATAATATCACTGATATATTCACTGTTCATTATATATGTATTTATTTCTTAAAATAATAATCAGATTGTAAAAATTATGGTCCCTTTATGGGGACTTGTTTTGAGATTGATTTATGAATTGTTTCTATATCTTTATGAACCATATACAGACGTGTATGATTTGTAAACGGACAACACAATATATATATATACATATATATATATATATATATATATATATATATATATATATATGTGTGTGTGTGTGTGTGTGTGTGATTTATATACGGACAGTACAAACATGAATATGATGGCACAATCATAAATTGGGGAAGAGTTTACCTACGTGCAGCAGATTTCAACACTCCCTACCATATAAAATCGGGAGAGAGAAAGTACTCACCACAAAGTTGCATGGTGAAGGAGTGTATTTTTTACTGCTGGATTTCGTACCACAATTACATAAGAATAATGGCATCAAATTCGCCCACGCCGCCAACTTGCAATGAAGATTCTCGAACCACGGACTTTGAGTACGACAGTCAAACGGTTACATGCTAGACCACAGATCTATATATGCATATATGTTCAAATAATTGTTATATAGTTAACCAGTAAATATGTACGAGTAGCAGATAGTGACTAAAAATTATAATTATTATAGAATTGATTAAATTTGCTTCAATTATAAAATATAATTCATGAAAATATCCTGCATATTGCATGTTCTGCGTCAGTTGTCGTTCGTGTCTGCTACGAAAGCTAAAAATAACATTGATTCCATATCAAAGTGTATCGTAAAACGACGTGAATTTAAGATTATCTGAGTCAAAAGATATATTAATATCTGTCTCTGTTACAAATTACTGACCCACTAACACCCAATTTCTTATAGATAATAAATAAAAAAAAAACAGTAATTCTATTTTCAAACATGAAAATCTTGTCCGTGGTAAGCTCTGAAGCTTCGATTACAGGTAACACATTATATTAGATCGCTTAATTTAATCTGCATATGAATAGAGTTATCGCAATTCATTTTATATTTTATTACTGTAGGAAAAATGAATATTTATCTGCGTTTTACGAGAAAATGTATATTTTTATAATATCTGTGCAAATAGGGGTGTGGTGGTGGTGTGTGGTGTTTATGATTTTTAACGTAGCTTTAACAATTTTTCAGTCATATCGCTACGATGTCTGCAGTATGGCAGTTTATAGTAATGTCTAGCACTGGGGAATAATGCAGCAGACATTTAGCATGATGTCCCATCCAGCCACATTATCCTGACACCAGGACGACCAGTCCTAACACTAACCTCTTAATACTGAGTGTCAAGCGAGGCAGCTGTTATTACCATTTTTGTAAGTCTTTGGTATCACTAGACCGGGGATCGAACAGATGACCGCCCGATTCTGAGACGGACGCTCTAACCATTAGGCCATCGGAGTGGCCTATGTGCAAATAGGGACTGTAATTGATAAAAATACATATTTTATTTTGTCAAAGAATATAAAATTACTTTTATTATCCAAATTTTGCTTGTTTCTCAGTCAAATTTCTGATTTCATTCAGGTCAGTATTTCGTCAGAAAATATAAAAGTACCCATATATACTGCCATCATTTTTCTTCGCTTTTTACATTATTTACTCTACGAGTAAATGTACAAATTAATATATATCGTCTCTCCACGAAGGTCTATGATATTCGCACTCTAATCTCTGAGTTTAAAATGAATTCTTGACAATAATGGATTATGTACATGCAGGTAGACCTGGCTGATTGGTTCATATAAAATTACAAAACGGGGGGGGCTTGAATACTCGATAAATGTAATACATATCCTTGCTGTGAGTGGTTAGACTTCGAAGGATCTACTTGATGACTATCATCAATCGCATCGCATATAAGAATGACTGTGATTGTTAATGCTATATTAGCGATATCAGGTGAGATAGGACGACCTGCGCCATGTGGATTGTTATTATTTTTAAGAACTGTTAGTGGTGAAGCTTAATTTTTCCATGAATCAAGTATTCTTTTAAAGTGTTCATCAATATGATCACTAACTGATTTATTTGGTTTTTTCAGAGTTAAATCCGGGAATAATAAATGTTGATAGTTGTTCTGTTGTAATTCCGAAGTGTTTCAGAAATGTTTTAAAAATAAACGATGTTTTAGATCAGTTTGAACTGGATCATCTTTATTGACTATATAACCTACAGTTTGAGTGGATGGGGGCTTACAAATCTTGTTTCGCTGTTAACAAAATTATCATTCACGAACTCTAGGTCTGAAGCAACTTGATTCAAATGTTGTATTGTTTCATATATCTGATTTTTAAATCATCGTTATACGAACATTAATGCTTGAAAATAATTTTTTTAGGTTATTAAAAAATCCTTTCATGTTCAGATTTGATTGTATTAGCATTAGAATTTATTTCATCAATATCAAATACTATTATTTTACCCTCCTTGCCATCAACTATTTTTGTAAAATAGGGTTCTCTCTTACAATATATATATATATATATATATATATATATATATATATATATATATATATATATATATATATATATATATATATAATGTGTATCGTCATAACTCATATTTCTATTAAAATGTCGTTGGCATGGCCAAACATTATTTACTTTTCGATATTATGGAAGTTGTATAAATTTGTTAACATCTATGACCAAGTCGGATCGCTGTGCTTCTGGTGGTATTCAAAAAGCTGGTGCAACTTCATGACATCCTAATACAGATCTAATAGTACTTTGATAAATATCTACATAATAATCGGGGTAATTTATTTCAATTACCGCTGATAATGTTGGGTCGTAGGCACTAATTGTTATTTTTTATTTTTTTTTTTCCTGTAATGGATTTAATTCTTCATTGGAATTCATCGTTGATCTGTTCTATCTGATAAGTGCCAGTTGGAATACTAACTACTTGCCAATCAGGATTTCCATCAGGTTTTATCTTATTTGCGAATACTAATGAATTATTTGGCTGTAGTCCACCAAATGGTTTTGATTTTATATTATGCCAGCTATAAAACACCCGTAACTGTGGTAATGCTATTTCTTTTACAGGAATTGCGGTTGGAAAGTTAACGCTAAAGTCAGGATTGGTCGAACTTAACGAAATCATTTTAGTTTTTGATTGTGTTGTATTAGTGATGATCTGCTGTAACAATTTTCTCGATGCTGTCGAGGACTTAGACATTATTATTATTTTTATTGTTATTATTTAATTCTCCATTTTGGCTATTGACATTAGCGATTATGTTTGCCTCATAGTAGGTTTTCATTATCATTACGAACTCCTTGTCGGATATTTTACTATCACTGAGATAGAATGAAATAAATATAAAGTTTGTAATATGCTACTGTTGCTGTGTGTAATTTTTATGATATACTGACGTAATTTATGATTTGTTCATGTAGTTATCTTTTTAGCGATAATACTGAGAATACTTGCGATAGTCATTGAAGTTGAAACGATAATTGTTATAACTGCAGGCTCTGTCATTGTTATCGTTGATAATAATAATCTGAATCCAGCAACAATAGCAGAAACTGAGTAAACAACTATATCAATGACAAGCATACGTCTGCAATAATTGTTTCAAACTTTTACTGTATAGGTGGCGCTCTACTGTTTCGTATTTAGCATAGGGAGGGTTAAAATTTTAAAGAAAAAGAGTTTCCCCGGGTTTCCTCACCAGTTATACTGGATATTTAAAAGAGACTTTGCATATCTTAGATGTTGCTCAAAGAACCTTTTTTCCCTTTATTTTGATGTATGATTGATGGGTGTAATATGGGTTAGAGAGTATACAGCTTGGCCTTACGCCAGATGTGCATCTTTTAAAAAAGTGCTAGCTCTACTTGCTCATTTTCACTTCTCGAACTTCAGAGGTAAATTGTAAAAAAAGAGCCGATAACTTTTTTTTTACATTTTATGCATTTGGTAATTCAGTCATTGCACTTTTAGAAGCTGGTATTATCTAGTTTGGCAAAATTCATTTTCCATATTTTAATAGCTGCCAAGAATAGTGTACTTTAGACAAATTTAGGTTGATTTTTGGAGCACAAGGGGGCAGTCATTTTAGTTAGCAGTGTCCTAAGATCATTTAAAATTTCCAAAAGTACAATATCCAAAGAAATTTCATCCACATTACATGAAAGTAGTATATATAGTAGTATATAGGTATGCAAACATTCTCTCCACTGTACATGTTTAAAATGCAAACAACTTCACCTTACATCCATCACTCTCTCAAAAGTACATAATAACTGGCGAGAGCCACCATAATTGTCAAAAGAATTTTTAGTTTGGTCAAACATTCACATTCTTGATTATATCTGTGACGTTGGATGCCTATATACGACTGTCACTTTCATAATACTTTGACGTTAAGTACATAATTGTGTGTGTTTCAGCCACGAATTCCAGACACCACCAGTAAGTAGCTACGGTTGATGTTTTATCGTCTGCTATCGGCATACAAGTTTCTTCGAAATCTTTGTTTAACACTATTGACACGATTCCATAGAAATCCTCAGTCGAGTGACGCCATAGAAATATGGTAAATATGCTAATCTTTGCACTGCTAAACACAGACAATTTATACATACATGTGACCTCTGCGGTATGTTTGAGAGTGCTGTTTTCCTGCGATCATATTGCAGTTTCAGAAGCAACCGTGTACACAATAGTTTTAATCTGCTTGTGAGGAATTTTAATCAGATTCGTTGTTTGAACAATATTAGGAATTCCGCTGACAATATCGTTGAGTCTGGCGTTAATATCAGCTAGTTTAATGCCAACAGTTAGTAGACTTTCAAAAAAAATTCATTTGTGATTCTGTTTGTTTAATAAAAACGATCCTAAGAGATTAGAAAAATCAGTTTTGAGTGTGCTTATTTTATTGTTGTTTGAAACTTCCTTATCATCGACGTATTTTTTCGTAGCAGCATCAAAGTCAGATTCTGATGTTCTGAGAATATTAATGCCATTGATATTCATGTTGATAAATGCACGCATTATATCACCTTTGGCTAGTACGTACTTAGATTCTTGATATTTTTTGTTGCAGCATCATTATCTTCGGTTGGGTTTCCATGGTCCATGATTTTATTTCGATTCATGAAAATGCTACCCGTGAATGAATGCTTGCTTGATATAATCGTTAACTGACTTACCTGAATCTTATATTTTACCCAATCAGTAAACCTAACGATATTATCAACAACTGCAGTAGGAATTCGTATAAGTACATCTGGCAATTGTATATTACTCGCCTTTAATCGTCCTTGTTTATCCTGAGAAACAACGATTTCATTTTGATCCACACTTGTCATATTTAATAAATCGTCAACCTCATTTCTGAGCTGCATATTTAGATAAATCACCCTGCTGCTGAGTTTTACTACGAGCAAATCTTCCTTAAATATCTACCATTATATTTATAAATATCTGTTTAAATGTGACAATGTGGTATATTTATACACGACTTTATGAGGTGGTTATGTTGATTTTGATATAGCATCAAGTACATTAATAGTTCACGACCACTTATTAGTGGATCAGTCAATGTTTCTGTTAGAGTACTTTGCAGGTTGCTAACATATTCTAAAAATTCATTTGGTGGTGTTAGTCCATATGAATCAAAATAAATAGTTCAACGTGAATCAATTGCATACGCAACCCAATGATTGCCTGATCCAGAATTTTTATCTAGATTAATAATACCAGTTTCAATATTCTTCGGTTGTTTTGGTAATTGATCGCGCATAAAACACCTCTGAAGTTTTTTATCTTTAGTTTTTTAGCAGTTTCGAATAAAGCAAAATTGGACAAAGGCGATATCAGTGAACTGTCCCGGGAAGTGTTAGGCCCTTTCCCTAATATGGATATAGGGTCCATCGCAATTTGTGACCTCTTCCCTTTTTTGATGTTCTTTTAATTCCATGTCCGGTTGCTTTCTTATGGTCATTCCAGCAGCTGTTCCAACAGCTGGGGCTACAGCGGCTAGTAAAGCTGCAAGAAATGGATATGTCGTAGCTATGTCTTTGATGGAGCCCGCAGAAAAATTAGGTTTGACGTCTTTTTTATTTTTTTGCTTCATTGAAGTTTCTGATCTGACGCTTGGTCAAGAATAATCTATTTGAACCGCTCATCTGTTCTCTTTTAGCGACATTTTTATTCCACAGTTATTTTTGACGCTGATTGTAGCCTTTTGATCTGATCAGAAGTCAGACATGATGGTATGACATTATAATTATTATAGTTGATTTAATTATGTGTTACATATTTTCTGTTGGGTCATCAACGAATCTCATTCGACCACCAGCACCTTCAAGTAACATTGATTTATCGTTGAGTATAACAGCGATTGTTCTATAATCAGCAATAGCTCCTCGCGTAACACGAGCTC